GCAAACTACCAAGTCCTTCTTCAAAAAGAACACCTGGTCAGCAGTGATAATGTGAGTCACTGCTGGATTTTTAGTTGTTTGCAGCACAGGACATGGAGTCCAAGGCATCAGGCACGCACCCTAGGCAGGCATTCCACCACTGAGACCTAGCTTCTTTGTACTATACACAAAACGGGACTATTGCTTTCTCTTTTCAAACCAATTGGGAAGAATTTATAAGCAGTAGGCTACTTGATGACATCTAAGAGTAAATTATATTAGGACATTATCTTGGTGATCCCATTTTCATGTCTTTGCTATGGAGACTCCATGCCAGAACTAAGCAGTTATGTGGTGCAACCTGTTCTGAAATTTGAGATCAGCTAACAACTGTAGTTCCACTATATTCCTGAATCTTTGCCCACAGAAAGAAATAGATTTGTTTGGCATTGGAAAAAAGAGACATCTGTCTGTTATAATCTTATATGAGAAATAGGTGTTCCATATAAACCCCTGGCATAAGAGGAGGTTTAAAAAAAAGTTATAGCTGCTTCAGATGCTCTGAGCTATTCTAGAATAAAATGTCTTTCATTCAATGCCCCAAGAAATAAAGGGAAGGGCTGGTAATTGCTGTATGAGATAACAATGAGGCCAGAGAAAATTCTTACCAAAGCATCCATTATTGTCATGTGATTACAGCTCCACCTTTTCAGGAGTTCCCTCAAGTTGTTTAAGTGGATGTCAATAAACAAAGTGGTTATGTTATTATTAGCTGGGGCTTGGGAATGTTTATTTGAACCACTCTGGAAGGGATGTCATTACCTTTGATGTGGCTTCTATTCAAACTTTCCTTATCAATGTGCCTATCAGAAACGAAAACAAATTACCATTTAACCCAATTGTCCTTTTCAAAGCTGTCAATATTGAGGTGACCTCTGCTCTGTCTTCACAAGAAGGACAGATTAGTTTGCAGGTAGCACTTCCTCCAAGATTTCCTCTCTCTGTGCATCCCCAGCAGCATTTTCCTGGCTTTAGTCACACCACATATCTAGAGGCTAATCCTCCTTCTGAAGCAAATCCATTTAATCTTCTCAAGCCAAAACCCTCCCTTTCCTTTTTACTGAGATCAAAAGCCACAGAGAAGATGGCTCCTATCCCGTGGGATCAATCTAAATGGCCACCATTTAATCTTTCTGTGCCTGTCCATGAGGCACACACCCGTTATTTAGTCCTGGCTGTGATTCTCAAAACATAGAAGATGTGTTGAGAAGATGAAAGGATGGTGGCTAGACAGCTACAAGGTTCTGTTTAGGCTCAGAAAGCATGCCATACAAGTCTCCCTTTCTTGCCAATCATGCCCATGATGACCTCTCTTTCCTGAAATGGCAATTCCCAACCATAAGAGGATTAGATGTCCAGTTTATGTTTGCAGTTTGACTCCATGGATTCACCCCTAGTTGGCTAAACCTGTCCACTGTTACTCTCACCAGTATTGGGGCATTTATTCTCTTGTGGAGAGCATTTAAGAGTGGCCATCTATAAGAGTATCACTTTAAGTTTCTGTGATTCAGAAACAAGTGACCAAGCAACAATCATACCCAAGTATTAAAGTAATCATTCAGAGCTAGCAGCTCCATCTGGAGGAGAAACAGAGCCCCCAGGATAACAGGAGATTCAGATATGTTGTTGAAAGCGAAGCAAAATCAAATCATTGAAGTTTATCCAAGAGCTGAACAATGCCATTCTCAAACTTCCAAAAGAAGGTGCCACAGGGTCGTTTGGCACACAGGGAAAAAGTTAGTATGAAGGAAATTCCCACCTTGCAGCATGACCCAGATCTTTCCACAATGGTGCTGTTTTGCAAAGCTGTTTCCAAATGCTATTTTAATCAAAGCCAACCTGCCTTGGTGTACCCCGAGAGCTCAACTATTTCACCAAAAGCAGTATGAAAGAGTTGTATGGAGTAATATTAATGTCATTCAACTGGGTTGCTTCCCACTGTGTCCCACAAAGACAGTGAAATGGTACTCATTCTCTCTAGCAAGACAGAATAGGTCCTACTGTTCTGAACAGCCAACCCTTTCCAACTGATATGCAGTTCATTCTCGCCACAGTCATTCACATCCCCATTTTGTTTTTATACTGAAAATATTGATCACTGTAGTCCTCACAGTTCTGATATTTCGGATATCCTAATACACACATATGAAGACATGAGATGCTGGAAACAGTCAACCCTTAGTGGAATAAAGACACTGAATGTCAGGAGAAAGTCTCATCTTGCATTTTCAGCTCATGGGGAATTTAACTTAATACCTTCCTCAAAAGCTGAGAACAATTCAAACCTAGGTATCTTTCTGGCTTTTTTATTTTCATTAAAGCAAGATGCAAATTGGGTAATCAGACTCTGCCTCTGTATGATTAAAAATCTACACGTTGCCATTGTCCAGGGAAAGGATTGGTCCAATCAATAAATTACCCAAACCACTGTCTGAATGATGGCCAAGAAATAAAAAACTACTTAAAATATTCCCAAGTACATACACACTTATGATGAGTCATTTTATGTGTTCACTTCACTTAAATTGTCTTGTATTGTCAGCTATCTGGGTTGATTTATTCTAGACACTTGTGTAAGAGTGTTGGTGATGACAGTAACTTTTGATTCTGAAAACTGATTAAAGCACATGAAACAAAGTTTCAACAGGAATAGTCTTCATCCAATCAGTTAAAGACAAACAAAACTAAACTAAAAAGGAAAGCTGACCCTACCAGAAGTGATAGAGAATTGCCCACTCAGACAGCTTCTGAACTGAAGTGCTAACTCTTGCTGCCCATTGGCCTTTGACCTGGGATAGCACATCTTATTGGTTCTATAGAAGTCAGCCTACCACTGGGCTTGACACTGGGACAGTGACTAAGATTTCTGGGCTTGTCAGCCTTCAAATCTTCAATTACCTTTTGATTTTTTACTTCCATTTCCTTCCCTTTCCTTCCCTAACCACCCCTTCCTCTTCATCTACTTATTTGTTTGTTTAATTTTTCTTTATTTTTGGTATTTTGTGACAGGGTCTCCCTCTGCAGTCTACATTAGTCATGACCTCACAATCTTACTGCCTGATGCTTGGCCCCAGACTTGAATCACATGTGTGATCCTCCTGCTTTGGTTTATCAGGAGAATATTGACTATTGTGTCAACTCAGATTTAAGGTGGATCTACTCTTAGCCGTTCACTAGCAGTGCTGATCATTCCTTTTAGCGTTAAACAGTACGCTTCTCCAGCTGGTAAATAAGCATGAATCATCACACAAATACAAGCAGTACTTGTACACAAAATAACCTTTCTTTCTTACATTAAGAGCTAAGCACTATGTCTTCCATGTATAACTCTCAGATTACATCCTAGACAACTAAGTCTAAAGTCATATTACTCAAGTCCACTATATAATTTATAGGAAACTTTATTACTATAGTTATCCAAAATCCATCCAGAAGACAAATAACTATAGAGGCATCATCATTTAGAAGGCATGTGGAATCCTTAATCCTAACTGTATTACTTGAAAAACATGTCCACAATGTGAAAAAGTAGTCACACCTGTAAGTCACAATTCAGAAAAGTTTGGTGGTATTCAAGGGTTGTCAGATATATTTCCTTAACCATCTTACTATTTAGTGTGTGCAGAAGTAGATGGCTTATACGCACTTAGTGGATAGCACAGAAGATTCAACATTGAACTTTCTGGCTACATTATTTGTGATCATCACCCCTTACATTGCCTCTGATATGAGCATCGCTGAGTAAAGGCAATGTGGATATGAATGTGTTAATTTTAATGAATTAGCCATTTTAAACAATGCAGGAACCATACAGATTTATTCTGAAAATGATATACTTAGCATGTGCTTGCTTGTAACCCAGTCATATGAGTGCAAAGAAATGGATCCAACCAAAGTATTTCCTTCACAGTGTTATTTTTCCTAATGGATAGTAGCATACACAAAATGATTGCAACCTACTCAGTTGTGATGTTTCTTTGCTAAATATCATGCAAGGACTTCTCAAGAAAGCCATGAATGGCCCCATTCTCATTTTTAAGGAACTACAGAATAGCAATGTAGTTTAGTTCATGTGAATGAGAATTATTTGAGTATATACTCTCTTCCATGAACGATTCATGTATCCTGTCAACATAGGCCTCTACTAATAACTGAAAGTGGGAGTAAGTTTTCCTACTTATAGAAAAAAAGTTAAGTGAGGTGTCCAGAGTTACAATGTGAATAAAAGTAAGCACTATATTAAAAGATGTTTCTCCTTTATGGGACAAGATCTTTCCATGCCTTCCATACCTAGGCAGAGATACACTTGGAGGTAGTAACAGTGTGGTATTAGAAATAAAACACAGGCCTGGAAGTGTAGAGGTGAACATTCCATTCCCTGCTCTACCAGACCAATGTGGGGCAAAACCTCTACTCTCAGGGGTCATTCACCCTCCGTCCACCACTGGCCAGATACAGTTGCAATGTGTTTTCCTTACCAGAAAACCTTACACTCCCAAAGATGTATTAGGAGCTTTAGAGTTTTGTCATGGACTTCACAGATACAAATTCATAGCAATCAGTATCAGAGTTTCACTAAACTTAAAAGTAGTTGCTTCTAAAAAGTGTCAGATTTAAAAAATTTTATCTTTGGAAGTATCTTAGTAGGCTGTAATAAAGTATTTGAAATAACTGCATCTGGCCTAATGATATAGTCCAGTAATGGAGAATTTTTCCAGCATGTACAAGGTTCCTAGCTTCCATTTTCAGCATATCAAAATATTAAAAAATATTATCACTCTCCCTGTACCAAAAATGTGTCCATGCAATTTTCAGCCCTTTATAAATATTCATTTTCATTCTGGTGATTGACTTTCTGCTGTTTTACTAAGCCCAGCTAATGATCAGGACATCCTTTTAGAAACATAAGGATACATGCACATCACCCTCAGATACTGAAGACATCAAATAGATGGTGTTACCTAGAATGCAGAGACCATCTGTGCAGTTTTCAGATTCCTGGCTGAGACCTTCACAGAACTTTCCCCCATTTCTTGGGGGTGGAGCTGTGCACTCACGGATACGGAGATGTTCACACTCTGGGCTGCAGACTGACCATTCACTCCACACTTCCCAGCTGCCATCCACTTCAAAGGAAAATAACAGAGGCCAACTTTAGCAGGAATCAGCCACCACTGGGAGACTTGCCCCACAGTTTAAACAGACCACCAACCCAGTAAAACAAAACTGAGAGATCAGGGCATCTTTACTCTCCAGTTTCTTTTCCAATTAAAGCTATAACAGGATAAGACCCATGATTGAATTTAGGCAAACAGCTGAGTGACTGGTGTCTTTGAGCTGGCTAATATTGACATTATCCATTCTTTCTCATTCTGTCTTACCCAAGAGCATCACTGCGGGACAAGTAGCTATATGCAGTACCATGGGATGCAGTGTGAGCTTACAGTTTAGAGTAGTAAATAGAGTAGACTGACTTTAAGTCCCCAAATCCCCTAAACAATAAAAGTTAAACCCACATGAACTGATAGTGTTAAATGAAAACAGGTCAGTGAAACCCCAAGATGGCAGAATATACAGAAATAGAATTTCTTGGGTCATAGATTGCTGCTGTACATTGAAATGAGCAGACTGAACTTAATTCCATTTAATATTAGCCCAAGAGACCAGGACAGATGTTTGAGGCAATTGCCCCATTACCTCCTAGGAATAGTTTTCACCATGCTTATGTAGGTTAAGATCTTGCAAGTTTTCATCTAAACCAATTAGTACAAAATGGGAAAAAATTTTAAAAGTACTGAATGTGGCCCCAAAATGTCTTGAGTCCCAGTTTTGGTTTTGTAAACTTGTTAGCAGAGAAAGTAAGTCATGTGGCTTCAGTTTTCCATTTCTGTCATCTGGGGACAATAGAGTCACAATGGAGAGATAAATGACATGGCATGTATGAAAATGTCCTCACAGTACCTGGCACATAGTAAGCACTCAATAAATGCTTATGAAATACAAGGGCAAATTAAACTCCAAACACAGGCTGTTGGTCAGAGTTGAGACCTTAGCTTCTAGAGAAACTCAAATTGAGAATTTGAGGCTCTGGTCCCAGGTCCTTGGAATTAAACTTGTGTGGTGTATGTGAAACTGGGAGCAGATATGCTTTCCATACAGAAAGCTACCTTCCACCTCACATGGTTCTCATTGTATTAGCTGGATTTTATACAGCCAGGAAGAAACAACAAAAGAACTGATAGAAGACACATTCCATAAATGAGATCTACTGCTATTAGGAAAGAAAGGCAAGTGCAGGCCAGGTGTAAATACACACCAATGTGGTGGCCAGTCTCTACCAATTGTAATGCAAAGAAATACCAAGCTGAAACGGAGTCAAGGTCAAGTTCTGGATAGTTGGTTTTTTGTGCTTGAAGGTAGCTCACCCAATCCCTGATTACCATATTCAGATTCATGCCATCAAGTAGGAAAATCAAGGGGAGAAGGTGGTGGTTTAGTTCAACAAAGCAGTGCTACCACAAGCCTTGCATAGAGGAGTTTCCCCCATGTTCTCCTCATTACAATGAATTCAGTATCAGCACCTTGGATAGAAGCAATAGTCTAGGACCTCGGACCAGGGTGACTTTGGAAGGAAGGGCACATTGCTTGCTGCACAGCAGCTTAATAGCATTGGCAGATTAGAAGGAGAAGGGTAATTTGTGTATATCTCACCAGGACAAAGAGCAGTGCAGGTTATTTTCTGCACTGACATTCCCTCACAAAAGGCCCCACCATTGAGAGGAGCGGGGTTGGTGCAGGTCCGGGAACGTTTCTGCCATCCTCTACCACAGCGAACATTGCAGGCTGACCACTCTGTCCAGGAAGACCAGCCTCCATTCACTGAGAGACAAAAATGGGGAGGGGAGAAAAAAAGGAGAGAGGTTTGTACTGATTGCCTACTATGTGCAAGCCACTGCGCCAGGTGCTGTGAGTCAGGGTTTTGGGGAAGAAGAGATGATGCCGAGTCCGTCCCACTTGCTGCTCTGCTGTGAGCCAGCCGTGGTCCTCATTCTTCTACCCTCCTGTAAGAGGAACCTAGAGAGTTGGCTTTGCAGGGAACTATTAAAAATGGGAACAACTCATCAGCAGATCTCTAAGGCACTTGACCATCCAGAGAATAAGAAGAAAACATTAGCATCTGAAATTCTATTACTTTTAAGTGCTTCAAAAATAATTCCCAGGGCTCCTCTACTGTGGAAAGGAATGCCTTAGCTTAAATAGCTAGAAATACTCTACCACAATGCTGAAGATCATCAACAAACAACATTTGTTTTTGGTGCATTTCATCTGGTAGGAGAGGAACTGATTACCTTCTGTGAAGATATGGGTGGGGGCCGCATCTGAGTTTGGGAAAGGTGGGGAGCTAAAGTTGCCCACTATGATGCTTTCCAAAAATAAACACCATGAAAAGAAAAAAACCCACTATTTTATTATTTCTAAGAGAGAGACTGCAAATGCCACTGGCTGTCTCACAACAGCGCAAGATTGAATGGACCAGCAAGCACATTAATAGTGTTAGGGATGCTCTCTCACCTGGCACAGGAGTGAGGTGGGACAGCACTGCAGTGAATGACCCAGGTGCCCCTTAGCTCTTGGACTGGAAATTTCAATATAGTACACGGCTCTTTACATCTCTGTTTTAGCCCTCCCTATCCCTTCCTGGCCTTTGGGCAGGTCTTACCGTAGACCACCACAGTTGCTGACAGGCTCCTCCTCTTGGCCACAATGTTGGCTGCCATACAGGTGTAATTCCCCGAGTCTGAGAGCCGGGCTTGCCTGATGATCAGGTTATGGTCAGCCCTGGTGTCAATGTTCTCATCCTGCTCAGAGTCAATGGGTTCCTCATTTTTCAGCCATTCCACCTACAGGCAGAAAAGGACATTTATAAGTCATCACAAGAATAAACTCTCTTCCAGGAGTAGACTGTGTGCATCTGTGATACAACACACAGAGGTGTTATGAACACTGCTTTGTATTCCACATTCTGCCTGCTTACTGAGTAAATCTGGCTCTATTTGGGAAATAGACACTCAAGTTAAAACCCTCCTAATAACTTTGACCCATTTTTTAAAAACAGGTAATAGAACAGGAATGACTAAAATTAGGCTATTTCTTTTTGCTAGAAATCCAGTGATGAGCAGGAGGACAATGACGATGATGACGGCAATGATGATGATGCTATTTCTAATCTGGGCATTGTAACTTAGAAAAGTCAACAGATGTATGTTGGATTTGTACTTATTGTTAAGAGAATATTTTACTGGGCAAAATTCCAAGTCCCTGCATTTTCATTTAAGTTTTAATAGAAGCCTGAAAATATAGCCAAGATGAAGAAATACAGCTAGAAAAAATCATAGAATCAAACATCTCACTCTCAAAATTCCCCAGAGTTGGAGATTATCCTTCTGGGTTACTTCTTCAAAGGTTCAAGAGATTTCATCTAGATTTTGGAAGGAGCACTAATTCCACTCTGGTCCTACTGTTACTCCGCTTTCATTTCCTGGGACACGTGAGGAAGACATAGGTAGAAGATCCCTATTCTTTATTCTTACCACACTTAGTTATTAGGTCGTGAAGTATGATGGAAGAATCATTTTGTTTGTCATCTTTTATTCTTCCTCAATGAAAGCTCACCACCCTTAGTAACTCTAGGAAGGATTCAGTCCCACTTTCCTTATTCTACCCCCATGTAGATGCACAATATTTTAGTTACTAGGTCAATAAGCATGGTGGTTTGCCATGGTTGAACTGTTTGCCTTCCCCCTTTGTCCTCTGCTCTATATCAAAATACCTTCACCATCTTGTGACAATATGGCCACATGTGACATTTAGTTCAGGTTATCAGCATTTGTAAAGCACAGTGATCTGACAAATGTGTGGAAACTATAACTTATCATAGAATCATGATTCCCAAGATTTGGAGAACAATGTTTGTGTGTGTGTGTGTGTGTTTGTGTGTGTGTGTGTGTGTGTGTGTGTGTGTGTGTGAGAGAGAGAGAGAGAGAGAGAGAGAGAGACAGAGAGACAGAGAGAGAGAGAGAGAGAGAGAGACATTTGGGTTACTCCTCTAATGGCAGTGAGGATGTTGACACAAATTCACAGGGGTATGTTGCACAGGGGATATTCTGTTATGCTTGGCCCACAATTAGCATAGCTAATTGAGAATTAGTTTTAGCATAAGAAGCTTCATTTAATTTTGTTTTTAAACATAAGGAATTCAAATTTATAATCAGTAAGTTGTATTTGTCATATAACTGTTCAGCATAGCAAAGGTGTGACAGTCCTTATGAAAAGGAAGTTATTTACCAGATGAAACTTAATCATGGCCCTTCATTATTTTTCATACGTATTGCCCATTCATGAATGTTCAGATACCAAAAAGTATCATCACCTAAAAGTAACCCAACAAGGAAGCCACTGAAAAAGGAAAACAATGCCAAATGGCAAAAGAAGAGACCTTGAAGCACCAGAAGAATAAATAGATCTGCACCATCTTAAGCTACACAGACCATCTTGAGCTACACAATGAGGTAAGAAGCTCAATGAAGTACTAACCCCACAGATCCCTTCAGTATCCCCATGATCCATCCTGGAGAGTCACCAATTATTAACCATGCAGAGACAAGGAATGTGGCTCTATTAAACAACACAGGGTAGAGAATCTCCTTTTACAACACATCTCAATATTAGTATATGACTCAAAGTCTTTAATTTCCCATGGACATAGTGGGTTTCACAGTGATTCATTACCCATATAACAAGTGATAAAAACATTGACTGAGTATCAGAGACTGTACTGAAGGCTACGTAAACACATTTTTCCAAACAAGAGGGCAAATTCCTTTTAAAGTCTTACTTAGAATGGCAAGACATAAATAACAAAAGGAATCCATATCCTCAACAAAAGCACCAAGTAACATAGCCACCAACCTCTGAGATGACTGCTTCCTTCAGGATAGAGAGAACTAGTGATCTCTAAATCACTCTTACTCCTAACTCATTACATACAACAAAATAGTCAACAAAATATGTCTGAGAGATACACTCTGCTTCCACTCTTCCGGCTCAGAAATGCTGCAGAGAAATACCTATTAACTAGTTAACTCATGAACTTTGATGTTGGCAGTGCTTGGGAAGCCCTTTCTGCATGTTGTTCTATGTCTCTATATTCTTTTTACACAGATGGGTAGAGGCAGGGAAACCCTGTGCCTGTCCATACACAAATCAGTTCTTGAGTACAGAGCTCTGTAAGCAGTGGTCCTGGAGACAGAGCCTAAGATCCCCAGTGTCTGGGAAATAAGGACAACATTCTCGAATGAGTGGCCCAGAGGAATTCAAAGCATACTTATCAAGTAGAGAGCTATGTGCAGATTTGAAATCTATAAAATAGACCAAGCACAAATGAAGCAAACTAGGCCAACTGTACTATAAATTTAGTGAAAAAATGGTCAGTGTGGACAATATGAGGAAAACAATATGAATGAGCTGAACCCTTCTTTTATTTGATTAGAATTCACTCAGTAAACAGGGTGTGGAGATAAATATATAGCTAGTTAAAGAATTAAACAGTATGCATTATATATCACTAGTAATATGTTAAGTGATAATATAACTTTCCTGGACTACGGATATAGCTCAGTTGGTATATTGTTTGCCTTGTAAGCTTGAGGACCTGCGTTCTATCACCAGAACCTACCTTAAAAAAAGCCAGTGTTGGGGTACATGCTTGTAATCTCAGTGTTAGGACTGATGAGGCATTGATTCCCTAAACTCCCTTGCCAAGCAGCCAAGCCTACTTGGCAAGTTCTAAGCCTGTAAGAATTCTGCCTCCAGAGATTATGAACGGTTCCTAAAGAATGATGCCTAAGATTGTTGTTCACTGCCATTCATTTCCACACATGCACACGCACTGCCCGCAATAGACACATGTTTGTGTGCACACATGCATACAGACACACACACACACACACACACACACACACACACACACACACACACTTTTATCCTTAAAAACAAACATTGCCATACAGCCTGTATTATGTGGTTTCTTTGGTTTTCACTGGACAGCACCACAGGGAAGTTTACCTTATACTTATTCCTTCCCCATTGCCTCTAGAAATGCTGTAGTGGCCTGATGACTCACTGGTCTGCTACTACTTCTTCTCCTGCCTCTAACCTGGATTTTGCCTCATAGACCAGATGCTCTCAATTTGCAGATAGAAATCATTCAGTGGGTTCACTTCTTCTCCAAATGAAGGCATCCCTTCTGTGGTTTGGACTCTATCTGCTTCCTACATGAATTCTTCCACTCATATTTCACCTCGGCTTACCTACTCCCCTCTAGTTAGATTAAGACTTCAACTTCTTCTAGAAACTCAAGTCAAGTCCCTTCCTGACCTAGAGCCCAATCCCTGAGGAACCCATGGCCCCACTGACTTGATATTCTGAACTCAGATTACATGCAATATTCTTTGAGATGTCTTACCCAGCTGTGCTTTCTAAACAATGAATCACCATCACTCCATTGTGCTATAACTTTCCCCTAAATGTATCCACACTGGGTAGTCCTAAAAATAGCAATGCCATTATCTATCATATCCTTTTGACAGTATATGCCTAGGATTTTTCCAAAACAAAGCATTATGGATTGCCTCACTTAGGACTGCTATTGCTATGATAAAACACCAAGACCTAAAGCAACCCGGGAAGGACAGTTTATTTCAGTTTACAACTCTCAGGTCATACTTCATCACTGAGAAAAGTCAAGGTAGAAACTCAGGGCAGAAACTAAACTAGAAGCTATGTAGAAACACAGTTTACTGGCTTCTATGGCTTGTTTATCTCTCCCTCCCTTGCTCCCTTCCTCCCTCCCTCCCTCTATTTTTCTCTTCTTTCTTTTTTCTTTTGAGACAGGGTCTCTCTACATAGCCCTGGCTGTCATGTAACTCATAATGTAGATCAGACTGGTCTTGAACTCTTAGAGATTCTCTGCCTCTGCCTCCTGGGTCCTGGGATTAAAGGCATGTGCCATGATGTCCAGCTTTCAGTCTGTTTTCTTATACAACTCAGGATCATTTGTCCAGGATCAGTGCTACCCACAATGAACTTGGCTCTCCCACATCAATCAATCAATCAATCAATCAATCAGTTAATCAATCAATCAATAAAATGCCCAACAATTCCCTATAGATCAGTCATGGAAGCACTTTCTCAATTGAGAGTCCCTCTTCCCAAATGTTTCTAACTATGCTAGCTTGACACAAAGCTAACCCACACAGGACTAGAGATGGAAATTTGATAATAGTACATTATTTTTTTTGGTTAGAAAAAGTAAAGAAGAAAATAAGAAAGAGGAAAGGGGGGGAATCATGAAAACCAATCATGAGTCAGAAACTCAACTTAGCATTATATAGACATTAAAACAAATATGAAAGTTAAAATACAAAACTATAGATTGAATGCTATATATAGATTTGCAAAGTGAAACCCAGTCACAAACATAGACATGTTTAGAAAGATCAGAATTGTAGTATATGCATATTTAAGATCTTAGTGGTTATGTTTTTTTTCCTACTGGGAGTTGAGATACATTTGAGAAAAAACATTTGTAATGTTCAGGAAAAAAAGCCACATTGGCTATAAAATATCTCCTTGAGTTTATCATGGAGCATAGCAACTTCCAACTTTATATTTGGCCACAGAATGTTTCTTCAATACAAAGCTTCACTGAAAAGCCAAAATTAAAAAAAAAAAGGGTAAAGGAGAAAAGATCATGAGACTGACAGAGGGGGCAGGGATTCTTAGCAGCAGATTTGTATCCTTTGAACTACAAGCATGAGGCCATGCCCAAGCCACCTTCTTT